GTCTTTTGGGCCTTTCGGCTTTAAACTGGGCCTCTATTTTCTTTTAGTTTGGGCCTATCTATTTCTTCCTCTTTCCTGATCTGAGCAGTGAGCAGAGAGGGCTCTCTTCCGGATTCATTAGCTCGAGCTTCTGCAATACGATAATGGCTGAAAAAGAATCTGAGTACGACGGTACTTCAGACTCGAACCAGTCTGCGATAAGTCTTTCAAACTCGAAGATCAGTCGACGCACCCTAGCACCACCGCCTACGCCTCCGCTGGTGGTCTTGAAATCACCTGCTTTAGCGAGCTCGTCGATGACGCTACCTTCCACTTCCAAATCATTCTTTTCCCTAAACAGGTATCGATATTTAATTAGCTGAATTTCTGACCTTTTGTATATTCAGAAGTTGATGGCTTTCTAATTGCAAACAGATATATGCATGGACCTGTTGCAGCTCTACAAAATTTGTAAAGAGATTATAACCTTCAAAATTTAGGGATTAATAATTGATAATGCATATTGGTTAAATAATTGTAATATAAAAATATTATGATTTAATCGTTAATTATTATTAAAATATTAAATATATCTAACTATTAATACATGAGATCTGAAACCTGACCCTTCAGATCAAATTGCTTTAGCCACCTTTTGTAAAAGTTTATATCACTTCTCTCAAAACAACGGTTCGAACCGACCCTCGTAATAAAAATGTTCAAAAAAAAATAAAAATACATGAGATCTGATATTGTATATCCGCTTTTATGGGATAAGATTTCCTATTCGTTTATCCCTGGTGTCTTGTGAAGTTAAAGTACCGCCTAGATAAGACAACCACCTTTAGTGGGGCTGGTTTCGGCTTTGGTTGTCTACTCTATTTAAATAAAGATATTATAATTTATTGTTAAGATTTTATATTTATTTTTAATTAAAAATTAATTAAATAAAATTTTTTATTTACACTTAAACCTCATAACCTAATTATTATAAGTTATATTGGTTTTAAAATTTTAAAATTTAGATTAACTTAATTTTATATTGGTTTAGATCGATTTTTAATTGAATCAGATCAATTTATATTAAATTAATTTATATTAAATCAATCAAATTAGATTTGATATAAATACTTTACTTTCACTTATGTAGTCTTTGTGTCCATGTTTCTCATTGAAAAACAAGTGACAGGACCTTGGTTCTTGAAGTTAAGTTCTTAACTCGAGATTTGCTTATTCTTTTAGCGTAGATACCAACACTACCAGTTTAATTCATACTTTCAAAAAAAAATATCCAAAATTATCTCGATCTCTAAGCAGATGTGAACCACGTGCTCTAAATCTTTACCCTCTTCATTTCGGAGACATCGAACCTGCCCTTCTCTTTCTCTGGATCGAAAATGGTTTTCCAAATTACTTTTTACGAATGGAATTAAATTTCTAAGGGTAATTAGTAAAATTAAATTGAGAAAAATTAGTATAATTTATTAAAAAATTAAAATTAAAATCCTTATGGGCTTAAACACCAAATCTTGGGGCAAGTTTTTGTTTTTCCAATTCGGTCAGTGGTTGGGGCCTCCATTGGACTTTTTGTACACGACTCAGCGGGGTTCTGTGAAAGCCAGCCCAGCCTAATTAAGGCCTTTTAGAGTCTCAAATAGTGACCCGAATGTTTCCAGGCCCGAAGGCCGCTGTGGGCTCCTCTACTAGACTTGAACTTAGCTGTGTTACATTTCTTATTTGAAATTTATTTTAGGCAAAACCCTTCTTAAGCTTGTAGGCTTTCAAATTAACAAGTGAGCTCCTAAATTAAAAATAAGCAAATAAACATTCAAATCCTTCAAATGATGCAAATTAGCTCTTATCATATGCAAACTTGCACCATTTGTTATTTTCTTTACTTAGTTTCACTTTTCACATGGATGTTAAGATGGATCAAAAGTTTTTTACTTAGTTAAGATGATACACTCTCTGCTTGAATTGAAGAGGATGATTTGGAGATCTCATAATATTTTTATATTACCGTACGCAGCTGCATCGACACGACCTGTAAGATTATAACCTTCAAAATTTAGGGATTAATAATTGATAATGCATATTGGTTAAGTAGTCAATGTTTTGATGATGGAAATAGAGCAATACGGTCGGTGTGACTTCCGTTATTGGAGGTTCTTCAGATAACACTGGGTCTGGAATCGCTAGGCGATTAGGTGAATTTTCATTAATGTGTTTTGTTTGGTTTCTTTTTATTGTGGGCTAAATGCCATTTTTGGTTTCCATGGCAGTGTTAAAAACTGGTCTTAATATAATTTTTGCTTGCAATATCGCAAAGAATAGCCCCATGCTTGAGGTTTGATATGTTCCTCTACCTTTCTTTCTCTGTCTCTATCTTCATATGTCATAATAATGCATTGAAGTTTCCTGTGGGTAGAATCTTGTCATTTATTTATTTTTTTTCTTGGTTTTGTTTTCACCAAGGATGGAGCTTGAGCAAAATGTTTGGGGGGGCCAAAATATATATATATATATTTTTATAACCCGCAAATATAAGTATATAACATAGCTAACATAATTTCACTAAGTAATTATTATCTATCAAAAATTATTATAAGTTAAAACAAAAGTAAAAAAATCATTGTATGTAACAGATATCCAAACATAAAATAATGTAAAATATGCCATACATACGCATTATATGTAATCAAATCTCTAACTAATCTAATTAATAAGAAACTCAAAATTTAACCAAATGGCAATTCATTCGTTCTGCAACTGAACTCAATGAGGCTGGGGTCGAGTTCCAGAAAAACAAGGGGGATTTGTTTGATATAGAGTTTCAAAAGGGGGTGTTGTCAATTCCAACCCTACAAATTGACGATGATACAAAATCCATCCTTCGAAATTTGGTTGCTTATGAACAGTGCTACGCGGGCATTTCCTCAAAACGCTTCACGGATTATATTACATTCATGGATTGCCTCATCAACACAGGAAAGGACGTTGAATTACTTTGTCGCTGTGGGGTTCTTGATAATTGGTTGGGTGATCATAAAGTAGTTTGTAAATGATTGAGATCTCACATTAATAAAGTATGGGAATTTAAATGAGTTTATAAATGTTTATTTTTTATCAACAAATAATTAAATAAACTGAAATCCAAGAGAAATTGGGCCTTGGCCCTTTATATATAATCAAAAGATGGGCACTTGGGCACTTGGGGCTTGACTGCCAGAACATCTTTAATTTTTTATTATTTTTGGATTTTTTATTTTATTTTATTAATTATAATTTGGAAATACATGTCTAAAAATCATATGGCTATTGGCAGTCAAAATGTACATTTATGAAATGGTGTCTTTTGAAGGGATACATCCCTTCAAATAGTAACTTTTCAGGCATTATAAATTCTTATGCAATGTTAGAGTTCTACATTTAATTCTGAGAGAGTTTTGAGTTCTGTTGTATCCTGAAAGATTTTAAATCCTTAAGGAAAATAAGATCACGCCTCAGAACAATTCTTTTATTCTTCTGTTATTTAATATTTCTTAACAATCTTAAGGATTTAAAATTACCTTATGGCTTTTCCTATAAACGCCAACATCAAGTTGCTGAATCCAGATGCAGTTAGATTGGATAGGTTCGATGGCACCAACTACATGCGTTGGAAGGATAAGATGACTTTCCTACTAAAAACACTGAAGGTGTCATACATTCTTGATCCAAAACTGCAAATTGTCTAAGCATCAAAGGAAAATGATTCTAAAGTAGTCAAGACTGCAAGACTGAAGCGTGAAGAAGATGAACTCATATGTTGTGGACACATTCTAAATTCTCTCACTGATAGACTTTATGATCTGTATTGAAACATGTCTTCTCCTTAAGAAATTTGGATTGCTCTGGAAAAAAAATACAAGCATGAGAAGAAAGGTACGGACAAGTTTCTTGCACTTAAATATTTTGAGTTTGAAATGAAAGATGACATTTCCATCATGGATCAAGTGCATGAATTACAAATTCTAGTATCAAGAATGTCAGAGTTGGAGATAAAGATTCCAGATTCACTTCAAGTGGGGGCAATACTTTCAAAACTTCCTCCATCTTGGAATGATTATAGGAAAAAGGTTCTGCATTCAGATGAAATTTTGACTATGAAACAGTTTCAAACACATATCCAGATTGAAGCAAAAAGTTGTTCAAGAGATGCAATATTGGCACCCTTGAAAGTTAATTATGTGAGTCAAAATTCTGCCAAGTCTTTCCAGAATAAAACTCAAGCCTCTTTCAAGAAAAGTCAGTCTTGTTACCATTGTGGTAAGAAATGTCACTTCATTAAAAATTGCAAATTCAGGAATAGTGCAAGGAACTTTGGTTCTGGCACTAGTGCAAAAACAAGCAACAAGGCAAATTTGATTGAGCATGAATTGGTTGCTATGGTTTCTTATATGCAAGTCGGGATGGTGACTGAATTGAACATGGCAAATCCAATCAAGTCTATGGATTGGTGGCTGGATTCTAGTGCAACAGTTCATGTGTGCAATAACAAAGCACAATTCAAGTTTTATGAAGATTTGAAGGAAACAGAGGAAGTGCTTATGGGAAACAATGTCACTGCAAAAGTTCTAGGCAAAGGCACAGTGGAATTTAGGTTCACTTTGGGCCACAAATTGACCTTGGTTAATGTTTTCCATATGCCTGATATTAGAAAGAATTTGGTGTCTGTAAATCTGTTGTGTAAAAGGGGCTTGAGGGTTGTCTTAGAATCAGACAAGGCCATTATATCAAAAAATGGCAACTTTGTGGGGAAAGGTTATTCTTGTGATAGAATGTTCAAATTGAGTATTAATGAAATAAATAATGTTTTTGCTTTTATTGTTGAGTGTTCTTTTACTTTATGGCATGCTAGACTAGGACATGTGAATTATGAATCATTAAAATATATGTCTAAGCATGGATATTTAACTTGTCAAAATGATTTTAAAAATAAATGTGAAATTTGTGTGCAAGGAAAGATGACTAGAAAACCTTTTCCAAAAAGAGAAAGAAATACAGAAATGTTAGAATTAGTGCATTTTGATATTTGTGAATTAAATGGTCATCTTACTAGAGGAGGTAAAAGATACTTCATAACATTTATTGATGATTGTTCTAGATATACATATGTGTATCTTATGAGAACAAAAGATGAGGCCTTTGGCAAGTTTAAAGAGTATAAATATGTTATGGAAAATCAGAAAGAGAACAGAATTGAAGCTTTTCGTAGTGATAGGGGTGGTGAGTATTTTTCAGATATGTTTGCATGATTTTGTGAAGAGCATGGCATCATACATCAAAGAATAGCCCCCTATTCACCCCAACAGAATGGTTTGGCAGAAAGGAAAAATAGAACTTTGGTTGACATGGTTAATTGCATGTTGATAAATTCGAAGTTGCCATTTAATGTTCGGGGAGAAGCACTTCTTACTGCCAATCATGTTACCAATAGAATTCCATCAAAGAAAACTCATGTTTCTCTATATGAGACTTGAAATAATGGTAGAAAACCAAATCTGAATTATCTTAAAGTGTGAAGGTGTCTTGCATTTTATAAGGTTCCAGACCCACAAAGAACAAAACTAGGACCTAGAGGCATTAGAAGTGCATTTGTTGGTTATGCAATTAATTCTAAGGCCTATAGGTTACTAGATTTAGAGTCAAATGTTATAGTAGAATTTGTACACGTTGAGTTCTTTGAAGACAAGTTTATTAAAGATTCTTCTACTATGTTTGATTTTGGAAATTTTTTGAATAATTCAATGCATAAAAATCATAATGGTACAAGTACAAGTACACTTCATGAGGAGAAAAGAAAAGAGAATGATGGTTCAATTGAACCAAGAAGAAGTACAAGGATTAGAAGAGAAAAGTCTCTTGATCTTGATTTTATTTCTTCTCAATCTACTGTCTTCCTAGTTGAAGCAACTAGAACTGAAATAATTCGAAAAATACCCATGGTATTAAATGTCGAAGAAGATCCAAAAACATTTCAAGAAGCAATGGCTTCAAGGGATGCAGCTTTTTTGAGAGAAGCTGTGAATGATGAGATGGACTCTATCATGTCCAATAATACTTGGATTTTAGTGGATCTTCCATATAGCTCTAAACCAATTGGTTGTAAATGAGTATTTAGACAAAAATATAATACAGATGAAACAATACAAACCTTAAAGCAAGGTTAGTTGCAAAAGGTTTTACTCAAAAGGAAGGAATAGATTATTTTGACACATGCTCCTGTTGCAAGAATAACATCTATAAGAGTTCTCTTTGCATTGGCTTCGATTTATAAGCTGTTTGTGTATCAAATGGATGTTAAAACAACATTCTTGAATGGTGACTTAATTGAGGAAGTATACATGGAACAACCAAAAGGCTTCATACTTCCTAGAAATGAAAGAAAAGTTTGTAAATTAGTTAAGTCACTATATGGCCTAAAGCAAGCTCCCAAGCAATGGCACCAGAAATTTGATACACATATTCTAGCAAATGAATTCAAGTATAATGATGTAGATAAGTGTATCTATTCAAAGTTCACTAAGGATTATGGAGTTATAGTATGTCTCTATGTTGATGACATGTTGATATTTGGTACCAACATGTTGGGAATAAATGAAACTAAAAAGTATCTAACTTCAATCTTCAAAATGAAAAATTTAAATGAAGTAAATACTATTTTGGGTATTGAAGTAAAGAGACATGATCATGGCTTTGTACTTAGTCAATCACATTATATAGAGAAGATGTTGAATAAATTCCAACATCTTAATATAAAGGAAACCCCTACTCCATATGATCCTAGTATGAAGTTGACCTTAAACCTAGGTCATATTGTTGCTCAATTGGAATATGCAAGTGCAATAGGGAGTTTAATGTATGCCATGCATTGTACTAAGCCGGATATAACCTTTACAGTATGCAAATTATCAAGATACACAAGTAAATTAAGCCATGAACATTGGAAAGTTATTAGAAGAATTCTTGGTTATCTTAAAAAGACAAAAGAGTTTGGTTTGTTTTACTCAGATTATTCAGTGGTCTTAGAAGGATACATTGATGCAAGTTGGATCACTAGTAAGAGTGATAACAAATCTCCTTCGAGTTGGATCTTTACACTTGGAGGAGGTACAATAAGTTGGGCATCAAAGAAACAAACATGCATCTCACATTCTACAATGGAATCTAAGTTTATTGCTTTAGCAGCAGCAGGCAAGGAAGCAGAATGGTTGGGAAATTTATTGCTTGATATAAAGTTGTAGCCACAACCTATGCCAGCCATTTCCTTGCACTGTGATAGTGAGGCTACAATGTCTAGAGCATATAGCAATATTTATAATGGGAAATCTAGACATATTAGTCTCAGACATACTTATATTCAAGAGTTGATCACTAGTGGAGTTATAACAATAATCTATGTAAGGTCTGCAGACAATCTAGCTAATCCTCTCACAAAAGCATTACCACGAGATGTGGTGGAAAGGATGTCATTAGGAATGGGGTTTAAATATTTAAATTAGGCATTGGTAATGGGAACCCAACTTTTATTTAGTCATTTCTAAATTTAAAGTTTAATGGGTAAAAACAAGTTACTATATATGCCTGTTTAGCACTTGAAACCTATTCCTACATTAGTCAAGTGCTGACTATTGCATTTTGGAGGATGAGTGTAAACTCTTAATGGAGTTGATCATTTCTAAGTGTTTATAGCAACAAGGACATGAAGAACTCCACCTAAATGGTCATAGAAGTGGTGCCGCTTCAACAAGAAGATGTTGGATTCTCTTGTAAATGACCATTATTAGCAGGATGAGCACATGGCCATAATAATGCTAAAAGGTTTTAAACCTCTTGGATTAGGTAGACAAGTCTTATGTGTGTCACACACTTATGTCACATTTATCCTTTTCTTTCTTGGGATTTTAGGCAAATGCTGAAAAGAAGCTGATGTAGAAGTTAATCAGGTTGGGATACACGCAGCCAAGATAATGATTTGTGAGAATTTTCTTCCATGGAAAAAGCTTGTATCTTCATTGCCTTGAACATAACAGCGAGGTGTGTCTATCCGCACCAACACCCCGTGGTTCTTTCTCCTTAACTCCACTTTATTGGTTTGGAAAGTAAACCCCCAAATGACAAAATACTGGCTATGAGTGCTTTAGTCAGCTAAACTTTTAACTGCATTGTCTTGGAAGGGACATTACATTTATTGAGGCAGTTGTCATCAAACTCTCAGAGTCTCGCGTACGAAGCGCGCTTTAGAGTTAGGGTCACGTTGGTCTTAACTGACATGGAATATTACTAGCATTTACAGGGTACGGAAACTGAATCCAAAGAAATTATCGCTCTTTGTGCACCCTTGCAACAATTCTGATTTAACAATATAATAATGAAATCCACACATCTAATTCAAAATTTGTCACGAGAAGCAGGAAGACTATCTCAAGATGCAATAGAAATTAAGGAACAATTCAAGTAGAAAGTATCGTCCCATCTTCCCTTTTCAGCGATACCCTCATTCTCCCTCTTTGCATGAAGTCGGGAGGATATGCCTTAGCAATCTGCATTGCAAAATTCACGAGTCATGACAACAAGTAACAAGAACTGCTGATTTAACGTAACAGACAACAATCAGTGAGAGCACATCAGAACTGAGGTAGGCAAGCAGGGAACACATTCAGCTCTTCAATGTGATAGCTCTGGTCTGCATATCAAGCATATTCATGGATATAAAATTGCTTCCCTCAACCTTTCCAGGTAGCTACAGTTCATCACAAACACATAGGCTACAAAGTCTGACTGCAGTCAAATTCTATGCACATTTAGAGCAAACACCACAACATCCTCAGAAATGTCAATTCTTTTAGTTCAAGAAATGTTAGACATTGTAATTTATAACAATTAAAGGAATAATCTTAAGCATGTAGACACTAAAATTGATTCTTCAGCTGATCTTGCTGCAACAACTTGTATGGACCAGAGGCCGGACAACATAAATCTTTTAACTATATGAAATCGCCATAATTGCCAAGCAAGATCAAAGAAAAGTGCAAAACGAATCCATAGACAAACCTCAATAACAGATGGGAGTTTGAGATGATTACAGCAATCACCGATCTCAACACAAGTAGGATTCTCACATGCTTTGCTCAAGCTGATCCGCCTCCCTTCAGCTACAGTTTTCTTTGAATTTATATAAACAAGGTAAAACACTACCCATTTCTTAGTATTTGGGAGCTGCACTTCCATGACTCCTATCAAAATCCTACAAAAACCCATAATTCAAATACCCATCCGTAAAAAATTAACCACATTTCAAAGAAGTTTAACCCCAAATTCTCTAGACACTGAGCCTGCGAGCACGATTCACCCGTGCCGGCTATGATCCAGAATGCAGATCAAATAGTAAATACACGAAAAGGGAACCAACGGTAAGAAAAGAGGGCAACTTGCATCATCTTACAAAGAGATTTGCTAATTTACCCTCACAAATTTCTAGCTTTGCCGTCCGATTGTAGTCCCTTATCTTCAAACTGAAGTAATGGTGGTTTCCGGCGGGGCTCCGATCTCTGAAAGATTTAGACCTTTTCCTAGCGTCTTTTTCCCATTCGGCTCTCCCTAGAATGCTACATGGGCCTTAAATTCAGCCCAACTACAGAAAACGGCGTTTAAGGTTGCGTTTTGATTGGAAAAAGTTCGAAACCTTGAATGAAGAAAAAAAAAAAAGAAGCAAAGCTTCTATTTTCACCCTATACATTTCTTTTTGTGATCAATAATTTAAATTAATTTTTGTTTTGATCAATACTTTTTATTATTTAAAATTTACGAAAAATTTAAAAATTAATTGTTAAATCTTATATTTACAACTTAATTTTATGATCAAAATTTTTTATTTATAATATTATTTTATTGATAATTTGAGTTTTTTTACAAAATTTAAATTATAAAGGGTATTAATTAAAATAAAAATGAATTTAAAGTGTTAAACGAATATATATATGATAGTAGTTGCTCCAGAATCTTCTAGGGCCAGGTGCGGTGCCAGCAGGACAGCAACAGGGTGTTTTCTCATTGTTTCCTTCATAATTGCCTCTAGATATGGAAGTTGTGGGATGTCCTTCTCTTGCACCCATCTTTCCCTCCCAATGACCCTGTCTAGCTCGTCAGTTGCCTTCTTAATTAACTTTGGCTGTTTCAAGAGTTCTGACACCGCCCATTCTACAGTTGTGCTGAAGTATCTGTGCCTCCCGCAATTAGATCCTAACATATTAAGCACAGGATAACAACAAAACTTGGGTGAAACAGTTCTTAATTTTTCATTTTAAACATATCAAGAAAAACTTAACATTAACTTTGAGAGGAAACAATTCTTGAATTGAAAAGAAACCTGAATGAACCCCTTTACACCATCATAATTGAGCTTAACCTCGGTAGAATCGTCATCTGTGCGCTGCAATAGTAAATCCATCATGTTTTGTGGCACGAAATTTAAATTATGAACTTCTGAGCAGGGAGCAGCAGGACGAAACAGCATAAACCTCAGGCCCAGAGACGGTAAACCCGGATTCATCAATTCGAGTTTCTGGAAATTTGGTCACCGGTAGATCGGGAAGTCACTGGGAGGAGGGTGATTATGTATTATTATTATCATATTATTATTTTTGGTGATTCATTGTTTTCTCCGCTACCAAGAAATTTTCTATATATTTTTAGCCACGGTAAGCAACGAGGTTATAAAGCTCTACCTCCGATGGTCCAATCCAATGCATAACAG